TTAATAAATCTATCTAAAAAATATATAACTATATATTTTTTTAGGTGCTGAATTCATTTCAATTAAAATTAAAATAGGTTATCTTAAGTAATTTTACTTTATTTAATTGTCCAAGATTGTCCAAGATTGTCCAAAGTATTGTCCAAAGCTATCCCATGACAACACTGCTATTAGGTGTTTACAGCCTTATACATAAAACTAATTGCCATATTGTTTGAGTTATCCCGAGTTATATCCTAGATGAAGTTCAATAAGTTTTTTAGACCGTTGACGAATATACTAACTTTATTAAAACCTTTACAATTTTTATTGTCCAGAGCGGGACTACCGATCGTTAAAAGTAAAGCTAGCTGGCAAAATTAGTAAAATAGCTTATTGTAAATTTATGTTCGTTAAGTATAAATTTTAATGCAATCAGTGAGTTTTTCGTCTATCATTTTAGTGAGTTTCATGTATCGTCTAAAATATTACTTATTTATTTAAGAACAAAGGTAAAATAGAAATTTCGCATCTTAGCACAATGTTGTTAGCTATTTTGCTAAAAAATATCGCTATTTTAGATGCTACGTTCTAAATCCGGTGGCTATTCCATTGTACTTAAAGCAGTTTCTGACCAAATGTTTATTGGTTTTTCTTTTTCTAATAAAATATTGGCTTCTTCAATAGGTTCTAATATTATGCTCTGCCCAGAGCATAGCGAAGGAGCTACGTACGTTGTTACGAAAATTTTTGTGTTTGAATTTTCTTTATATTGTATTAGCGTTCTTTACTATATTTGTCAGTGCTATTAATATGTATGGCTGTGCATGGTTTAGGACCATGAATCTTGGTTTGGAACCCTAGATCTTGGTTTGAGACCACGGGTCAAGACCACAAAACTTGGTTTCTGACCATGACATTTTGTAATGTATAAATATAACAGCTAAACTGATAAAGAGAAATAATAATTTCGAAAGAATCGCTTGAGTCATAATGAAATAATAAATAAAGCACCTTATGATCATATACCAACTGAATACATTCCTTAATAATCTGCTATAATTAATTCCGAATCCTTTATAAACATTCATCTCACATAACCTATTGGGGTGTCTCATTAATCAATTTTTTTATAATTAGCGGTGGCGTAGTGTAGCGTAAGTAGTAAAAACATATGAAATTTAGATTGCAATAACTCTTGAACAAGCGAACACACACAAATGAAATTATATTTGTCGGGTTCATTTTAGTGCTCTTTAAGGTGACAACACTTTTTTTTTATTTATTTGTTGTTTGAAGCAATAGCGGAAACTTAATTTTCATACAAAATGGCCGTTTTTGATGTTT